GTGATAGCCATTAAAAAGCCTGATAAACCCGCGTCGGATCACAATTCGTATCGGCCCATCGCGATGCTGTCGTGTATTCGGAAATTGATGGAGAAAATGATCCTTTTTCGCCTCGACAAATGGGTTGAGACGAACCACCTTCTTTCAGATACTCAATTTGGTTTCCGTAGGGGTAAGGGAACGAACGACTGTCTCGCGTTGCTTTCCTCGGAAATTCAGTTAGCTTTTGCTAAGAAAGAGCAAATGGCTTCTGTGTTCTTGGATATCAAGGGGGCTTTTGATTCAGTATCCGTTGAAGTTCTTTCAGAGAAACTCCACGCTTGTGGATTGTCTCCATTAATGAATAATTTTTTGTACAATTTGCTGTCAGAAAAACATATGAGCTTTTCTCATGGAAACTCTACAGCTTTTCGATTTAGCTACATGGGTCTCCCCCAAGGCTCATGTTTAAGCCCCCTTTTGTACAATTTCTACGTTAGAGAAATTGACAATTGTTTTAATGACAATTGCACGTTGAGACAACTTGCAGATGACGGCGTAGTGTCTATCACAGGGCCAAAAGAGGTTGACCTGCAAGGACCCTTACAGGATACCTTGGACAATTTGTCTACTTGGGCTATTCAGCTGGGTATCGAATTCTCCACGGAGAAAACTGAGTTGGTCGTTTTTTCTAGGAAGCATAGCCCAGCACAACCGAAGCTTCAACTTTTGGGTAAACCGATCACTCATTCCATGTCTTTTAAATATCTCGGGGTCTGGTTCGATTCCAAATGCACCTGGAGATCCCACATTGAGTATCTGAGACGAAAATGCCAACAAAGGATCAATTTTCTCCGAACAATTACCGGAACGGGGTGGGGAGCCCATCCACAAGATCTTCTGACGTTGTACCGGACAACGATTTTATCGGTTTTAGAGTACGGTAGTTTTTGCTTCCAGTCGGCAGCTAAAACGCACATCATCAAGCTGGAACGGATCCAGTATCGTTGTCTTCGTATCGCGTTAGGATGCATGCACTCGACTCATACTATGAGTCTCGAAGTGCTGGCGGGCATGTTGCCACTATCCGTCCGTTTTTCAGAGTTATCTCTTAGGCTCCTCACCCGTTGCGAAGTAATGAACCCACTGGTGATCGAAAATTTTGAGAAGCTTCTGGAGCTAAATCCTCAAACATGTTTTATGACTTTGTACTACCTATATTTAACACAGGATGTCAGCCCTTCAAGAAATATTCCCAATCGTGTAGTCTTCTCCGATTTCGGCAATTCAGTGAATTTTGAATTATCTATGACGCAGGAAATCCGCGGAATTCCAGAGCATCATCGTCCTATGATTGCTCCGTCATTATACGCTGCAAAGTTTGGCCATGTTGATTCTGCAAGAACGTTTTTCACAGATGGATCTCTAATAGAGGAGTCCGCTGGTTTTGGTGTAGTTAATGAATTTCATAGCGCCTCTCGAAAACTTGAAGCTCCTTGTTCTGTGTATGTGGCTGAACTGGCAGCAATTCACTACACTTTGGAAACTATTGCTTCACTTCTTCCAGACCACTACTTTATTTTTACGGATAGTCTCAGTTCTGTCGAGGCTATCCGTTCCATTAGCGGTAAAGCACTTCTCGTATTTTCTCTTGAAAATACGAGAACTGCTTAGTACTTTATCCGTGCGCTCTTTCATCATCACCTTCGCGTGGGTCCCTTCGCATTGCTCAATTTTGGGCAATGAGAAGGCGGATTCACTTGCGAAGGTGGGCGCTATGGAAGGCGACATTTATGATCGACAGATCGCCTATAGTGAATTTTTCTCTATTTATCGTCAGCAGTCGCTCGTTAGCTGGCAACATCAATGGAGTGAAGGGAGCTTGGGACGATGGCTACATTCAATTATCCCTAAGGTGTCGAAGTTTGCATGGTTCAAAGGGTTGGACTTGAGTCGAGACTTCATACGCGTGATGTCTCGTCTCATGTCCAATCACTATTGTCTAAACGCTCACTTGTTCCGTGTGGGGTTGGGAGACAGCAATCTCTGTGAATGTGGACAAGGTTACCAGGACGCTGATCACATCCTTTGGTCTTGTGCGGAGTATCGTGGAGTCAGATCACATTTTTATGATTCCCTTCGGGCTCGAGGTAGACAACCTAATGTTCCAGTTCGGGATATTTTGGCTAGACGCGATCTGGAGTTTATGAAACTCATATATGTTTACTTTAAGGATATTAACCTTAGATTGTAAGTTTGATTAACCGTGTGTTTAGTTTGTATTTTGTACGTGTGGGTTTTTTTTTTCAATGTTTGTTTTCAAGATGAATAGAAATAATTTCATGCTTTAGGATTAATTAAATAGTTGTATCGTAAACCACATTTCAAACCTCCTTCTTCCCTTTTCCCATCCAAAAAATTGTAAATCTCCACTAACCTCGAGACAACCGCGAGTACTCGGTCCAGTTCCTTTAACTTTAAATTTAGGACAGTAATAATGTATAACGCAAAGGATAACTCAGCTCTGTAAAGTTTATTCGATTGAGCCTGTACAAATAAAGTAATCATAAAAAAAAAAAAAATTGTAGCTGATTTCGATTTGCCGATAATAGAACAGCAGATTTACATGCAGTTCAAATGGAACGGTTGCCGAAGAAAAACTGGTTGCCGACAATACTCGCTCTCACTAGAGAAGATTGCAGCTTTGTAAAAGCGTTTCAAAACAGTTTTTGACAATTCTTTCGACTGAAATTGTTAGAGCAGCTGGCAGCAAAAGATTGTAAACAAACCAATACTGCATATGTGTGCGTTGCTTAGAGAAAAAGGCTATAGAAAGAAGGTCGCTGCTTAGGTTGCCGAGAATACGTAAATTCCTCTAGTTGAAACTACTAAATTTGCGAAACTTTCTATTTGAAATTACATTATTTTTATTGTTACAATTTTTGTTATTTGTGTGTAGGTGGTTTATGTCTCCAATGGAATACCTTGGCTCCCTTATCATTTTCAAAAACTGATAACTAAATTGACTAGAAAATAAAAACTGGCATGGCTGATAAATTTGAAATGTGGTGGCTTGCTTAACGCTTCAGTGGCACCACCATGACAAATTCGAGCCCTTTCCAAACTAAAACCTTATTTGAATTGACTGTTAGAGCGTGCGAAGAATGCTATTGTGTCTGTTTGTTTGTGATTTAACTCAGGGTTTAAAGTAACTATTCTAAGGAAGTTGTCCATGTTTGTTAATCCCTGTTAACGATAATCCGATTTGTGTTTAGAGATTTAAAGAGCTGTCAAATTTCAACTTGATATCTTTCTACAGCGGCACCGGTGGTGTAGTGGTAAGCGTGATTACCTTTCACCCCAGCAGCCTCATTCAGATAAGAACATCTGAAATTTGTTTTTGATGCTGGGTTATTAACGAAAGAGAGAGTTGATGAAGATAATCGATCCTTCAAATCGATCAGTAGATTGGTCTATTTGAAAAGTGACGCGATAATCGTCTTAGCTCATCTCAATACTGATGAATTAACTTGATACAATAATCGTAATTTGATCATCCTTCCATAAGTATTAATCCAAAACATTGCCTGTGGGCCGTCCTATCAGCAACTAAAAACACTAACAAAATAAACACTTGGGGATTTCCTGCAACGTATGCCCAATGTCTTTGCTAGTCAAGTTCCTGCGGACGGTTTTGAAACTGAATCGCTCATGACAACACTGCAGACTGCGCGGCTTTGGACGATTATTATCAAAAACTGCAGAACTTTTCGCGCGTTGCTATTCCGACGCAAGTAGCATGTGCTGTGCCTCGGTTTAGTTTTGCTGATCATGCATGCATCATTCCTGATTGTTATGTACACAGTAAAAACTTTTGTACGGTTGTATTATGTTTCACTTGTGCTTGGTACCAGGAACTAAGCGCTGACTACCTGCAGTTTTTAGAAATTTCTCCATACCTCTGAGTAAAAGTGACTTTCGCTCTGAGTTATTCTCCTTGGCCATGTACTTCAGAATGAAACGAATAAAAATCGTTTTTCACTACACAGCAAAAAAAAAATAATTTTAATATCACATCAAAGTGGATGCACTTCAATGATGGAAACTAACGATTTTAAATTGGCTCACTACTTGACTAGCCTATTGCAAATCGATTAACGTATCCCATTCTAGTCAAAATTCTAGTACTGCACAATGTTTTTTTTTGATTCGCTATGAAAGTTTGACAGAAAAAAGGGTTCGTGGATTTTCCTATGTTTCGAGGGGTGCATCCATTAGCTTAGGACCGCAGATAGTACAAGAGCTGAGCCAAAAAGTTGAGCACGTTTCTTCGGGACCTTCTAGTCTTAGAGTTCCTCTATGCTTCAATCTTTTCGACACGATATGGTGTAATATTACTTTCCAAAAAAAGGACAAAATTATCATTAATACAGTGCATGAACCGACATTACGCTGCTCTTGCTGCATTTATTTATTGTTATGGCCGTAAAAATTACATGAGATTTTCGACATGAAGTGCATCCTCTTGGATGTAATATTAAAATTTATTTTTTGCTGTGTACTTTTTCGAACTGTGTTGGTTAATATGAACGTGCAAGTTAATACTCTCCGGTCTTCGAGATCGGATGGGCTTTGCTATATGGCGTGTATCGTCTGCTCGCTGAGGACGAAATCCGCAAAGCTCTCAGTTCGATCGCGGCTGCTCAAGAAAATAAAAGTGCACTCTTATATTCTAAACAATGAGCCTAATCCGTTCGACGGAGGAAAGTTTCCGGATTGTCATTTTATGGAGCCGGGAACTGCCACTACTGACGGGCAATTATTTGGTCTACTTCACTGATAAGCAGTCGATTGACGGCATCCACGCCGGATTAGATTGTGACGATTTCAAACCCTTCGAGTACCATCAATGGTTGAGTGGTTCGTGTGGCTTTTGAAGCCTGTTGTTTGAAGAAGCTAGTTGTTCTTGGATTTTTTCTACCAACACTAATTGAACTGTGTGTGTTTGGTTACACTTTCAGATGGCGAGAAGAAGCGCTCGATGCCGACGATACCGACGACGTCCTATACGGTGGGTGATCGGGATACGTTGACCTCGTTGGCAGCCCGCTACGATACCACACCGTCGGAGTTGACCCAACTGAACCGGTTGGCCAGCTCGTTCATCTACTCCGGACAGCAGCTGCTGGTGCCGGATAAGTCAGCCAAGTTCGGCGCCGGATCGGGCGGAGACGGTGAATCGGATGCCAGCACCGAACGCTCGTCGCACAGTCCCACCGAAGGCCGCCGCAAGGGCTCGAACGAGGATCTGTGCCAGGATGAGAAGGGTAAGTTGACGATGATTGTTAGCATTGTTTTAGGTATAGCCCTATGAGGGACCATGAGTTTTTACAGAACGCATAAATTTCAAATCTCGATTAATTTTAGAAAAGGTCCTATGTGCTTTTTTTCCTTGATTTGATTTCCGTCGGTCTTGTTTTCCGTACTGAGTACCAGGGCCCTACAAAATCACTTTCAAACGAAAATCGTCAAGCGACGATGAAGCTGTCAACCATCACTCTGTCTTCTCTTCGAGCAGATCCCCGTCAACATCAACAGAACCACTTTCGATCAGTTTTTATGCTGTTTGTTTTGGCTTGACTAGTTATCTTTCATTGTCAACCCAAGTAACATTTTCAGTTTTATAAGCCAACTTTTCCAGCGTTGTGCTGTAAAGTAGCTGAAACAAAGCTGCAGATACAGCTACAAGCAAAATAGTTTTGGAGAGCGTTTACTCAACTTTTTCACAACCATTATTCAATTTGTTAGTCGCATTAAATAACATCAGCCAATAAACACTAATGTCACTTCTTTGCAAATATTAATCAATTTTCAGCTTTTAGCTGCAAAACAAAGCTAAGAAAGTGAATACATTACTCATTTGTTGGCTTCTACAAAACCAACCACTCTTGCAGAAAAACATAAACATCAAAAGTGCTTCTTCAACAACTAAACAACCTGTACTCAGCTAATAAACTGTGCTAGCACTACTTTGGAAGCATTTTTACAGTCAGCTAGGTTTATTTTTAGACGTTTGCAATTTTACTGCTTTTACTCTGCTCTTTTACAAAGCTGAATTAACTAGTCGAGAAAAGTGATTCATGTACACTATTATAAAGCCTCTATTCAGCGATTTTGTTGTAGAAGGTCATGTAAATTTGTTTACGTCAGTTCAAAGTGTTGGCGTAGCGAAGTTGGTAGTATCAAGGTTCGCCAATGCGGTTATTGTCTCGAGTTCGATTTCAGGTTCCGGTACAATGTAAATCATTTGGTGGTGTGCTTATAAATTATTTCGATGAATATGATTCGCAGTAAAATAAACTTGATAAATTCTTTCAACAAAAAAAAAAAAAAAAAACGTAAGCAATATTTAACCTGGCGTCAAGAGAAAACTGTGTATTGATTATTGGATAATCGGGTAAAGGTTGAGTAAGCGCCATTCAAGTTCACACACAAGTAAACAGCAGGATAATAGCTGTATAGAAGCGTAAATAGATATGAATAAGAACTTGTCCCAACAGCCATAAGTAGCTGACTAAGTTCGCCAGATTTGCTTCTATAGAGGTTGAGTAAAGGTTTCCTCATATCGTATAACATTTGAATACAGCTTGAGGCTGTATAAATGAAATGAGTAAAGCGTTTACATTGCGAAAATTGTTAGCTGGGAAATGAATTTACTTTTGCATTGAAGCGAAGCTGTTCGATCCAAATTCGTGCAGTTTGTATGACTTTTGTTGTTGGTTCACTCGGTTCATTTAAGCGTATGCGCATAGATCTGTGCACGTGGATGCCAAATTTATCATTGTCGGGTGGTCTGTTTACCCATCAACATGGGTATTTTTTGAATCGGGGTGACGTCTAGAGGATGAAAATCGATATCCGACGCCATTTTTAAATCGAAGATGGTGGCTTCCGATTAACGAAAAAGTGGAAATACAGTCAAATACACATCAATATTGGTATTTTTGTAATCGGTATGAAGTCTACAGATCGAAAATTGATATGCGACGCCATTTCAAAATCCATGATGGCGGTTTCCGATTTCAGATTAAGTGGGAAATACTGTCAAATACCCATCAATATAGGTATTTTTGGAATCGGGATGGCGTCTAGAGGCTGGAAATCGAAATCCGACGCCATTTTAAAATCCAATATGGCGGCTTCCGGTGTAAGAAAAAGTTGTAAATTCTATTAAATACCCATACAAACGGTTTTTTTTAGAATCAGGGTAACGTCTAGAAGCCGGAAATCGATATCCGACGCCATTTTGTAATCCAAGACGGTGACTTCCGATTTGCGGAAAAGTGTCAAATATCCTGAAATATGGTTATTTTCAGAATTGGGATGAGACGTAGATGCCGAATATTGATGTCACGCCGTCTTTAAATCCAAGATGTCGGCTTTGGTTCAGAAAAACTGTGGAATACTGTCAAATACCGATCAATGTGGGTTTTTTTGGAATCGGGCTGACATCTAGAAGAAAGAAATCAATGTTCGACGCCATCTTGAAATTCAAGATGGTGGCTTCCGATTTCAGAAGAAGTGTCAAATAGCCTACCAATGGCATCGAATATCGATTTTCAGCATCTACGCGTTGTCATCGTTCCGAAATACCCAGATCTTAGGGTATTTGACACTTTTTGTGGCCCGATGGCCGCCATATTGAATTCCAAAATGGCATTGGATATCGATTTTCGGCATTCACACGTTGTCCCCATTCCGAAAATACCCATATTGTAGGGTATTTGACACTTTCTGAACCCTGATGACCGCCACATTGGATTCCAAAGTGGTATCTGATATCGATATGGCCGCCATATTGGAGTCCAACAAAGCATCGGATATCGATTTTCGGCAGCCACGCGTTGTCTCCGTTCCGAAAATACCCATATCTTAGGGTATTTGACACGTTTTATGGAACTTGATGACCACCATATTGGATTCCAAAATGGCGTCGAATATCGATTGTCGGCATCCCAGTTCCGAAAACACTCATATTGTAGGATAGTTGACACTTTCTGAATCCTGATGGCCACCATATTGGATTCCAACATAGCGTCGGATATCGATTTTTGGCATCTACGCGTTGTTCCCGTTCCGAAAATACCCATATTGTAGGGTATTTGAGACTTTCCTTGACCCCGATGGCTGCCATCTTGGACTCCAGAATGGCATCGTTAATTTAATTTTCGTTTAATATAATATTATTACTACATATAATTCCTATCGGCAACCGATATTGTGCGGATACTATCCGGATCAAATCCAGATACTATATTTTGATGCCTGCGTCGTCAGGTCACGACAAGTCGAATAAGCCCCGAATGGAAGTGAAAGTGAAAAAAAAAACGAAGGAATCAGTTTTCGAGTCATTCATTGAGTCAATTGAAACAAGTCTTTGTTTCAAATGAAATGCACTGAAGCACTTGACGAACGAAACAAGTGATAGTCCAGTCATGTTTGAAAAGAGAAATGTTCATCGTGACTCGATAACAAGAAACACGATGACTTACACGAAAATTATATTGCTCGAAATGAACCGATTCTGCGGAGAGTTCATTTTCTTTTCTTTGTTTCGAAAATGCGGAACCCTGCTGAGTACCAATGATACCGACGCTCCCACACTTGGACCCTACCTATCGACCCATCAACTCATGGACCGGGAACAACGGGTTTACTTCGCTTCCGAAGGAAGGCGTGAGCAGAGATTTTATGTCTCAGAAAATCCCAGCGGCGCCGAGTGAGATTGAACCCAGGCCCTTTGGGATGAGAGACAATCACGCTTATATAGTCATATATGTCACATCTGTTTTGATTTGAATGTTAAAAATCCAATTCTTAACCAAATCTGATGAAACTTGTTGCAGATGAAAGCTATACTACACACTTAGAAAAATTCATGTAAATTTAGCTGCTTTTAGAGTGACATATACGAGCGTCAATTTTGACATAAAGTTGAGTCATAACAGACGTGAAATATAGTTCAATCAAACGTCCTTTTTGACGAGCAACGAACTTTTCAGTCTCGGAGCACTTAATATTACATGACATGTTTGCTTACATCTCATCTCTTATGTCAAAGATGAATTCCGTCACGTGTAAAATTAGTTATTTCTAAGTGTGTAATGTACTTTGATCTTGATGAAACAGTCCATATTAAACACAAGTTGTCATCGGAACTCGGTTCCAAGCCTATTACAGTAGAGCCACTAAACTTAATGATTCTAACTGAACCTCTTTTGCAGTGCCATCAGAAGTGCTTGGTATTTTTCAGCCATACATATCAATGGGATATCAAATGTTCCGGATAATCCTATTTTTTTTTTTCGAAGTGAGCAGTTCCACGGCAAATGACGAATTGGATAAACTCGACTTCCTCTGATGTGCAGAAAACATTGCATAATTGTGTGTTATGGGCAATCAGCCCATCAGACAATTCAGCCATTTTGAATCTCATATTTGTTTTTTTTCAAAATGGCTTTAAAATGGACAAAACATTTTGACAAGATTTTTTGGTAAATTTATTGAACTATTCGTTATTTCGCATTTTTATATAGTTTCTGCACATTAAACAATATTTGAAACTTCAACAATTTGTTTTATATTACTTCTGCGTGAAGTCAACGATTAACATAGTTGAAGATGCTAATTTCAAATAACAGACTAGAGTGGTAATGTTTATACGATAGATGAGGAGATGAAGTATAGAGTTGATAGTTCCGTTAGAGTACGGCAGTGTGAAATTGTAAGCAAGCAAGAACAACTTTTATGAAGATATAAATCGCCAGCATTAAGGGGGGTTGGGGGGATACCCCTCACCGTCCTTCTCAACGGGGCACTTTGGTAAAGAGAGATGATCAATCCGATTTGTACCTTCATAAAAGTTGTCCTTGTTCATGCTCTCTATACATACAATTTCACACTGGCTAATCACTTTTTTATTTGAAATTTATCATGACAGTCATCTTCTAGAGACTTTTAAAACTCTTTAAGACGAATGTTTTATAGCTGAATTTGTTGCCTGTATCTCTTCTAATAAAAAAAGATATACTCAAATATAGTAAAAAATATGAATAAATTCAAATTGATTTTAAACGAGTTTAAAAAATAACATACCTCCAATTTTTTCATGTTATTGAGAATAACATACGCCCTTTCTAATGCTGCAAAAAAACTTTTTTTTTGTTTGCCCCAACAAGAGATATTAACATTTGAAAAGTGCATATTTTTAGTATAAAAACGCCAATAACTCTTGATCGGCGAAAGATATTGACAAGTTTTGTGTAGC